TCAAGAGCCACGGGTGTTTTGCTGACGGCAACCAAGACGGATCTCAAACGTGGCTCGGGCCAGTCGAGGGCACGCAGCACCGCAGTCCATGACGTATGGTCGATTCTACTCGCTTCGCGACTCACACCAACGTGGTTGTGTCGCATTGGGCTCGAGCAGCAGGCCAGCGCAAAGTTGACGAAAGTAAGGTGGAGCGATGCAATGCGACTGCCGCCTGTACGATGGCGTCATCGAGAGAACCCGGGACCCCTAAATCCACCTGCTCTTGATTGCCGGCCAGCGCACAAGACCGAGCAGTCTCGTCATCTGTGCATTGGAAACATTTGTGTTATTGCAGCGTCAGAGGAGGACCAGAGCTATTCCTATGGGAGCCAACCAGCAATGCCTGCACTGCTGCCACCGTCGCGGCGCCTGCGCCAAGAACGTGACGTGCAAAAACGTCTTTGTCCATCGCCGTATGGTGCTCGCTCACTTGAGGGGGTGCTGTGGGAGTATCGTCGAGACGAGGTGCGGAACCTGGTGTAGCTGACGCGGCAGTCGGTCGATGTGGACGTTGCTTTTCCCGCTGCTGCGGGGGGCCTTGGAGGGACCTTAACAAGTGTTCCAAATCTCGAGGGGCAATCGTTGCCGAATCACGCAAACTTAGCATGAACTCTTTCGAGTACTTCTTCCTGCTAGACTCTGGGGGTTCGTCTTTAGAAGATGCAAGACTTGCTGGAGCTGCGACCGGCGGTGGCGTTGTTGTGGCGGCGGTGGTGGTCGAGCCTTCGGCAACCGAAGCAACGCTCGCCGTTGCTGGCGACGGAACCGGTGTGCCTGGAGCATACTCTGCAACAGCTGCCAGTGATGCTGTCGTGGCCGATTTACTGGGACTTTCGTAAGTAAATGTGGCATTGTAGCAGTTGTCGCAGTAGACGAGTCCATTGTTTCCCGAGAGAGTGCCATCTGCATCGAGGCAGCCTGCACATAGCATCCCGTCGTCTGCTTCGCTTTCAGCATACTCTTCGTCGCCTTCGACCCCCCACTCTGGGTCGTCGCCCGCATCGGCGTAGTATGCATCGAAACAAGGAAGACAGTAGAGTAGGTCGTCCACATCTTCCTTGAGCGATTGAGGGGGGAACAAGACGCCACACGTCGCACACATGGTTAATGAGCTCGTGCTGGGAGACGTGGCTCGCGTTTGCTGGGCCTGCAGATTCTCGTAGCACATAAAGCAGAGCGCGGAGTCGATTCCGATAGGTGCATCGTCTTGACACAATGGTTGGATCACACGCACGTCGCCGGCGCCACAATTTGTACATGTAGCGACAGACTCGTCCAGACGCTCCACGGCGACCGCGACGGTCGCAATATATGGCCTCAAACTTGGGTCCCGCAGGACACGAGAAGTCGTCGCTACTTCGAGAGCGTACTCGTAAAACGCCAACGCTTCGTCACGGCTGGCGCACACGTCGCCAAGGTTCTTGCTCAAAACAAACATTGCCGCGTAATCGCCTTGCGCAAAGGCTTCACGGAGACACTGTCTCCATGTGGCCTCGGCCGCCGTGAAGCGACCAGCCCGGAACAACGTGCGGCCCTGCTGGACACCCGCCACAACATCCTCCATCCGCATTGCAGATATCCGGATAAAGGCAACCGAACACATTTCAACACTATTTACACGCTCTCACGATTATTACACTATTTTATACTATGTTGCCAAATTCCATCGAGAGCGAAGGAGCTCAGGCATGGCAGTCCACACACCTGTCATGGACGGCGCTAGAGGGGTTGCGCCAGCATGTCTTTCGAAGCGCTGAGGATTCCGCCGTCCGTCGCAACCTGTTTAGAAGTCGTTGTTGGGTTTTACAGATCGGGAAACTCCAGATGTCGGATCGAATACGTGGTCGACATAGTCGCCACGTGCGAGTGTTCAATTTTTTTAGTTCTTTTTTAAATTATTTGGGCGTCACGCAATAAGTTACTCCAGGCGCATACTGGTGAAGAGCACTTGACGTGATGGGGCATGCTGAACGACCTTGTTTCGATACGGTGGTCGAGGAAGGGCAGCGGCAAGCGTGAGCAAACGACTTTGATCCAACGAGGCAAATCGAAAAGTGAGTTAAGAGTGTTATGCTATCCTTTGACTTCAATGCCCTCTTCAACTCATATGCAAGCTGTGACGAGTGTTCTCGACACGCTCTTCATGAAACTGCCCATGGCAAGATGCAATGCACACATGTGAAATATCAATCAGTCACGCAGGGTTCCAAGTTCGTAACCGGCTTGGCCGGATAGCACCGAACTTCAACGCTCCCCTAAACCTACTGACGTTGACCTTTTTTCTTGACAGGCTTCGGCTGCGACAAGGTGGGCGGAATGTTCGTCGTCTGGCAAAAGGTCATTGTCCACTTTCGAAAATGCTCAATGGAGAATTTCGTGGCGCACTTTGTCAACGCCTTGGAGGCCGTGGGGACGAACTTGAGCGATAGGGCCCCGCTTTGGACCAGTTCGCGGAGATAGTGGTGGCTGACGCCGATGTGCTTCGTGCCCCCGATGATCGCCGTAGACTTGGATGTCGCGATCGCGCACATGTTGTTGCAGTTGAGGGTTAGTTTGTCGGCGGTGACGCTGAGGTCGGCCATCAGACCGCGCAGCCAAGTTGACTCGCGCGCGGCTTTAGCAGCGGCGATGTACTCGGCCTCGCAGCTGGATAGGGCAGTGATATGATGGCGATGCTCTTCCACATCAAGATGCCACCGAGAAACGACCACAGGAAGCCTGTCGTTGAGCGGCGGTCGAGTCGAGTTGCCTAACTCGCGTCGCAGTACCCACTCAAGGTAGGCTCCCCTGAACCGAATTTGATCCCCATGCTTGAGCCCCTGACAGGTATCGTAGAACTCGTTTGGTACCGACGAGGTGTGGTGCGCGTGGGGCGTGAAGATGGCAGGACAGACGTTGGACGGCGTGAGCGATGTCGGAACGGGTGAAGACCATCAGGTAAACCAGCGACCCGTTGATGGCTCGGTACTCCTCTTGATCGACACTTGGCTGATCTTTGTCATGCCATTAGTTTACTTGACAGGCGACTTCCGGCGTCGCGACGAGGTGGCAGTTCGTCATGCCGAAGCGCTCGAGTACCTTGGCGGTGTACGCGTCTTGGGACATGGTGATCATTGATCCTCTGTCGTATCGGCTAACGCGGATGCCCAACATGTAGTTGATCGGGCCTTGTCGCTTGATTTCGATCATGGATGCGAGTGCGTCCATGGTCTCGTCCATCTTGGCCTGCGTCGGGGTCGCGACGATGAAGTCATCGACATACGTGCCGAGAAACTCCATGTCGTCGCCTTGGCCGCGGGTGAAGACGCATGGGTCGTGGCCCTTTGCTTCCATCCAAGGTCGGCGATCTGTTTCTTGCAGTGCTTCTCGAACTCGAATCCGCTTTGGGTCAGACCATTTAGTGCCATGGTGACTAGCGCAGCATTTCCATGGTGAGTTTCGTGACCTTCGGGTTCGACGGCCCATATCGGCTTGCTGTGAGTTGCTTGAATGTAGGCGTTGATTGCATCGGCCTGTTTGTTAACTATGCGGCTGGAGATGGCAACGGCGCAGATTGCTCGAATCGACGTCATATTGATGACGTTGGACGAGGACTCGTCGTAATCGACTCCTGCCGTTTGCGAGAACCCCTTGAGGACCCATCTTGCCTTCCAGCGGACAACGTTGCCTTCTGCGTCGGTTTTGCGTACGTATGTCCAGCGGCTGCGGATGATCTTGCGTCCTGGCGGTGGTGCTTGGACGGACCAGCACTTCAACGTGAGCAGTTGCTTCACTTCGTCATCTTCAGCGTCCTTCCAATGTTGCCAGTCGGGTGACGACATGGCTTTGCGGTGGCTGTTGGGAACTGGGTGGAGTTGAACGGCAGCGCATGCGTATTCAACGCCGTCGATGCGGTAGGTCGCGCTTGATTCTCGCATGAAATCGTCATATTGGTAGCCTTCTAGTTCAGGTCCATGGCGGCGGCGGCAAGGTTGGAATCAAGGTCGGGGTTTTGGAATGTTAAGGTGAGCGATGCATAGCGTGGGTTTGGCTTGTGTTGGCATTCCAAGCGGCGGGGGGCAGAAGGTGCAGCGCGGTCGAACGACATGGTGCGAGTTGGCGTACTTGGAGGGGTGCGAGCGCTCATGTCTGCGATGGTTTGGCTTAGCGAGCGGCCGGTGCAAGCGTTATGGTCGTGGATGTTGAGCGATACGGTTGTGGCGAGTGTGGAGGTGTGCGGAACGACACAGACTGTTGACGTTGTTGGCGGAGCTGTGAACGGAACTGGTCGGAAGTGCGAGATAGTTTGCGACGGACGCGGCGATTCTAGGATAGGTGCCTTGCATTGTGGGGCGTCGGTTGCTGGGGCGTATTGTTGCCGTGTAGGCGGCGGTTGTCGTCGTCTTGGCGCGGTGGCGGGCGGATTGGAGCTGTTGCAGTGTGTTGCAATTGATGCTGGTGTGGGCGTTGCGCGTGCGGTGGGAGAATGGCGTCGACGGCATTGTCGATGGCCTGGCGGAATTTTCCGACTGCAGTTTCGATAGCCGTTGGTGCAGTCGCGGCGGCGCGACCGGTGATGGGACGGAAGTGTGTAGTGAAGGTAGCAGGCTCATCGTCGTCGTCATTGTCGTCGTTGTCATGGTCAAGGGAGTCCGGTAGAGTTGGTTCGTCGAGTTGGCTTGCCCGAGTGGAGTGTAGGGCACGGTTGCTGATGAACGCAGCGGTGTTGGCCGCTTCGACCCACCATCGGCCGGGAAGGTTGGCGTGAGTGAACATGGCGAGGGTCATCTTCATCAAGGTACGGTGCGCACGTTCGGACACGCCGTTCTGCCATTGTTATCTGGCGGACGACGACTCATGCTTAATGCCTATAGACTGGAGCAGAGTGTCGAGGTCGTGCGACGAGTACTCGGGACCCCCGTCTGACCGGAACACTTTGACCTTGCGTCCGGTGTGTCGTTCAGAGAACGCGATGACCGTTTGCATGTTCGCTGTTT